TTTGCTTTCTTCTGGTCCACTCCATTGATTTGAGTCCCAGTTTCCTTTTCATTGCTATTGGTTTCCTGTGCAATTCCATTTATTTCAATTAGTTTTGCCTTCATATGTTTCTCTAATTTATGGCTATAATCAACCAGTTCTGCGAGGATCCTGACCACCAGTGTTTTAAACTGTGGGTCTGAGAGTTTTGCTATTTCTTCATCGCTTAGATCTATAGGCTCTGGGGCTTTGAGATCTTCTTGAGCCATTTTTGGTCTGTTCACACCCGTTAAGTACGAGGAGGGGAGCCTTGGACTCCCAGGTCGCTGAGTTGTGACACTGCATGTGGGGGCGTGGTCAGAGCAGGGAAATGGCGGCCCCCTCTGCTGTTTTACACGACTGGGTGAGGAGCAGAGCCTTAGATGGTTCACCAGGGCAGGGCCACTCAGAGTCGCTGGGTTATGGCGCTGTATGCGGAGGCGGGGTTAGAGCGGGGAAATGGCACCGCCCTCCGCTGGGGCTGCTGGCTCTCGCCCAATCGCTCACTCCCTCACTTGTCTATCCACACACGAATGTGTGACCACAGTCAACCCGCAGCCCTGCTCCCTCGCTGTTTCCCCGAGGTTGCTCGCTTGGTCGCTCGCTCAGTCGCTCGCTAGGTCCAACCCTGCACCTGGCCGTGCACCTGAGTCCATCTGACCGAGTTTTCCTGTGCTACCCTGCTCTTCCAGCTGCTGGTTTTGCCCCTCTTACCGGTCAGGCTGAAGAATTTGTTGTTATCAGACTTCCGAAAAGTTCAGTTTTCTGTGTTCTGGCTGTGTTTTCTGTTGCTAATATTTAGTTGTCTCTAAACTTGGTTGCGTGAGGAAGCACGGCATCTCCACCTATGCCTCCATCTTGGCCGAAGTCTTGTCACAATCCGATAGTAATTTAATTTAAAGTACCTACTTAGTGAAGTTAAAAGTTGAGAACTGGTTTTGGTTACCAACATTTTTTGAAATTCAGTGTCCCTGAAAGTTTTAATCTAGAAATCCTTGTTTTTAAAGGCGGCACTGCAGGTATTTGGGGCCAGGTAATTTACAGCTATGCAGGACAATCTAGCACATTTCGGAAGGCCTTCTCTGATTCCCCACAAACTAAGTGGCTGTTGTGCCATCAACCAAAGGTCTGTGCACATTTCTGAATGCTGCCAAGGAAGCATGTGCTCACTCAGGTGGAGAACTGTTCTGTATTAGTTATTCCTGGAGAAATATTTGGGTATGTGGTGTTGGGAGATCAATCATAAGGTTATTGTACAAATGTAGCCAATACATTCTGGACTGGACTAAGGCAGAGAGGATGCAAAATAGATGAGAGCTACAAGTTACTTAGGAGGCAGAATCCTCAGGACGGTTTTCTGGCTTACATAATGAGATGGAGACCCAGTCACTAAATAAGAGTAGGCAGAATGAGAAAAAGGAGGCCAAGTAAACCAACACTGAAGGGGCAGGTGGAGAAGCAGGAGGAGAGCCCTGTCTCTGTGGGGCACATGGTGAGCCATGTCCTTTCTCGTCCTTCTCTAGTAGACCTTTCTGCACTGCAGGAGTTGGGAAGCTGAAAACTGTATTTTCAGACTCTCTTGCAGATGGACTTCTGGATGCATATTAGCCCCATCCGTTAGGTGCATCAAAGTTATATTTGGAAGATGGAAATCATCTTGCTTTCTCTAGAAAGTTCATGGAGAAGTTAGGAACGGGAAAGGATGTGCAGCTCACCAGGCCCACTGTCCTTTCTGTCTCAGATGTCAGACGACAAATCCATGTTCTCTGGTTCAGGTTTCTACACCTCCTCTTACCTAGAGCTGGATGATCTTCAACTCTTTTTTCTTTTAATTTTTTTAAGATTTATTTATTTATTTTTTAGACAGAGGGGACAGGAGGAAGAGAAACATCAATGTGTGGTTGCCTCTTGCATGCCCCCTACTAGGGACATGGCCTGCAACCCAGGCATATGTCCTGATTGGGGATCAAACCGGCAATTCTTTGGTTCACAGGCCAGCACTCAGTCCATTGAGCCACACCAGCCAGGGCAATAATCTTCAACTCTTAAGTTGTCAGGGGAAATTGGCACTGTTAAACTGATGTTCACTTTTTACTTATTTAATGTAAAACCTTTAAAAAAATCTTAAATCAGTCAACTCAATTTAAACTGAAAGCCAAAGGGTAATATATCAGATTCTCTAATTTACCAAAATATCTTTGACATTTCAAGCATAACAAATACACAAGATTACCCCAATGATTCAAAATTCATTCACACACATTAAAGTTTTAATTTATTTTATCTGTCTACTTAAATTCTAAATTTTTCTGCTGGTTATTTATCCAGAGTATTTTTGAGGCTGAGAATCAGGACCCAAGAATCAGGCTGAGAATCAGTGACATTTTCAGGTCACTTTTGTTAACATCTCAGATATGTTCTCTGAGTCCTAAAGAACCATTATGACAAGGGAGTTCAAGTTTGTGCCCTTTGGATAAGATTGATTTCCAGGTTCAATTTTTATTGCCTGACTTCTATAGACCAAATTCTTCAAAACTCTTGCCATCCACTTTATTAATTTCTTCATGGGTCATTGAATTCTGTACTCCCTTCATATCCTTTCTCTCATATCTTCCTCCAGTGCTGTTGTAACACACTAAAATTATGTAAATGATGCTTGGATGATGAGTTAAGTATACAGTTATGCATATGCTTTATATGTAAATATGTAAGTGCCCATATAATTACATATGCTTATGAATATATAAAACTGAATTACTGACAATTTTTCTAGTCATGCAAGCTCATCCAAAGCTAATTACTTTACATACACAATTTATTGTGAAAAGATCACACATACTGTTCACTATTACTATATATTGAAACTTCCTTCTGCTAAATAGAAGCTCAGCATTGCAAATATTAAGTTTCTCATGTGGGCTCTTGTAATGCTCTGTGCTCATGAACAGCACAGCCCTGTGTTGCATCATAATGTTCAATGCTCTTGTCCTTCCATCGATTCTGAGCACCTGGAGCGCAGGGAACACAGCCTCTTCTCCCTCTAGTTTTTGTTGTGGTAAAATATACGCAACACGAAACCATCATTTTAACCATTTTAAAATGCATAATGCAGTGACATTAAGTACATTCACCTGGTCCATAACTGATACCCAATGAACATTTGTTGGACAACTTTCTGAATGAATAAATTAGTAAATGAATGAATTGATGTTTTATAATCATATAGTAAGTAATCTCTCTCTCTTTCTCTCTGAATGTGAATATATACAAGCCTTCAAGTTTAACAGGCCCAGTAGATACGGCTATGTTTGATCCAGCAATGGGCATAAGTCCTATGTCTGACGTCGCGACAGCTATTAAATTAAGAAGACTGCAGAGAAAGGCCAAGCACATCCTATTTAACTGGCTGGATCACTACAGATTTTCACTGGGTCAGTTACAGAACTCAGTGTGTTGCTGCACATACCTGTTCCCATCATCAAGACTTCCAGAAGACCAACATTTAAATGCCTCTTCCTTCCAAGGTTCCCAAGGAGGCATTTGGAAACTGTAAAGCATTATACCTATAGAGTCTTACCCTTGATCCAGGTGATTGGCCATAGCAGGAAAATTTAAGGAGCCAACCTTGATTTTAACCTTACTTTATCTGGGTTTCTGTCTACAGACACCTTATTTAATATGTACTGTTGATACCGTAACACTGAGCCCATGGCCAACAGCATTATAACTCAAGCCTGAACTAAACTTACTTAACACATATTTTCTCCATAAGACAAATCAAAATTTCTTGTGCTTTGGAACTAGACAGCCCTTCAGTACTAAGCCTGTGGGCTACTTTTAAATGACAAAATCACCAACAAAAAATGCAAAAATGTGTAAAACATGGCACTTTATAGACCACGTAAAGAACACTTGATTACAGCATGAGGGTGGAAACAAGAGGGCAGAGCATCGCTTTGTTCAGCCACAAATATTGATCTGGGGTTACAAATAAATTTTAGAGAGTAGGTAAATTCACAAACACAGAATCTGCAAATAATTAGCATTCATTGTATGCTAAATCCAAAAGGCAAGCTTCTCCATTTGAGAAGGTAGCTTGCTGTTTACTGTGGTGCATAGCAGAGCTTCCCAAAGGAAAGGCCCTGGATGTTTGACACTGGAACCGAGAAAGAGAAATCCTCCGTCCTCAGCGGGGCAGCCAGGCTGAGGTGGTCCAGCCCCTGGGGTAGCTGATTCTGCCTACAAGGAGCCCACTGAATCTATCAGTGATGTGCCATACAGGTGTCTCATGATTTCTTTTCGTATCATGTTTTTATGATAAGAATCTATATGCATTGGGCTTTACAGTTTACATTTTGCTGCTTCATTGAAAAGAGGTTGGGAAGCATGGTGTAAAAGTACCATCTTCAGAATCAAATAGATCCATTCAAATCCTGGTTCTGCCTCTTTCTAGCTCGATGAACTTGGACTTAGCTGTGATATCATGAAAATAAGACTACTCGCCTCATTAGAATCCTTAATTCAATGGGATAGCACATTTAAAGTGCATGGCACATATCATGGCACAAGAGGAGCACAGATAGTCAAATTCTAGCCTAGATATTTTCCTTGTTTATTACATAGATGCTATGTATCCTCTGGGAAGACCACGGGTACACTTAAAGGAACCAACGGAAAGGTACTGTGGTGAAGGAGTGTCCAGGTTATTGGACAGCCAGATTGACCCAGCCGACACTGACCTTGGTCCACTAAGGGTTTTCAGCACGGTGTATTCTGTTTGCATTTCAGGAGTAGAATCCCTGCACATGTGCAGAGTGCCCAAATTTCCACAACAAGTGATCAGGAAACAAAAAGTCTCACCAGCAGAATTTCCTCTGAAACAAAGTGCAGAGGAAAAAGATGAGAACAAAGAATATCTTCTAAACCAAAATACCTTCGTAAAACTGAAGGGGGTCTTTAAGCCCCCACCTCTCCCTCGCATCCAGAAGGCCCCAGCCAGCAATCAGCACTTCAGGTAACCAGCCTCATTTGTTTTAATAATTCACAGCAAGATTATGTTTGGAAAGGCTTTGGATGAAAGTTTCATTCAGTCTGCCTACAAACGCCGAGCAAGGCGTGCCGCCAGGTCGCTTCGCACCACAGTTCTCTCCAAGCAGGCTGGGTGGCTGTCACTGGCGACTGGGTTGCGGCTAGCATGCTGTCCATCAGAAATCTTTCCTAGAACTGGGACGAACTTAATGCCTAGATTCAAGCATCTGAGCTCTCTCCAACCTGCTTCCTAAGAGGCTGCCCATTTAGCAGAGGAATTCAAATCAGTCAGGAATTGAGGCACAGTTTGTTTTCACCATTTTGGTAAACACCTGTTTAAAACCTGACTCTATGCTGAAAATCTCTGGTTCTGTGTTTGGGATGATGGATGAGGGTCAGGATTTATTGCTTCCCCTGCCTTCTCTTGCAGTTCTCCTGAGAGAATGAGTTCTTGTTTTCTTCATCAGTATAAAGAGCCCAGTCCTCCATATACATTTGTACCTCAGGGACTAGCTGCCACACAGGGATGCTTCCTACCTCAGGCAGAGAAGACCCTGGTTTCTTCTCCATCCCAGTAGCATGGGGAGGGGAGGGCGTTGGAGGAGTGGGTTGGTCTCTTCACTGAGTGCCTACATTTGGAAGCCATAGGAGAAGCCCTGCCCGCTCCTACCACAAGTACTGCAAACATGCCGAATAGATGTCGACCAAGACCCCCAGGAGCTGAGAATCCCTAAAGGTCCCAATCCTGTTATTGCTGCAGTAACATTTGGTGAAGACAATAAATTTAAAGAAAAGTGGTAAATACCATGAGGAAAACATTTCCTGTATTTGAAGTGTCCTCAGCAGACTTCACTAATGCCACTAAGCAAGCAGTGTGACCAGTCACCTGGCCATGGAATTAATTCATTCAGCCAAAAACTGTCACTTACTACCTACAGATATGTGGGCACATCAGCAGTACGAAGTCTTGGTCCCTGTCCTCCAGGGGCTCAGAGTTGGCAAGGAGAGATATGAATGTATGCCATTAATCAATGGGAAGTAAGGAAATGGGTGCTATTGGACCAGTATAAATAGAATGAAGAAGTTTTGTGGAGGGAGAGATTTCTTTTTTAAGAAAGGACTGTTTTTCAGGAGCCTTTGAATGAGATCTTGAGTGATGGGGAGCATTTATATATGCCTGTAGAGAAAGGGGGGTAACCCAGGTGGAGAGATGCATGACAGTAAGAAGACCGATGATACTTACAATGTCAAGGATGGTTAACACGTAACACTTACTGAGCACTTACTAGACACGAGAAGCCATGCTAAACATTGTACTTTTAGGATTTCATTCAACATTCATGACACACCTAAGGGGTAATATAAATAGTCCCATGGTGTTCTATCTACCCTCAAATCACAGCTGGTGAGCAGCAGAGCAGGGATGTGAGCGAAGGCACATAGGGAGGATGGTGCAGGGAAATCAGAGGAGTGCCGAGTAGTCTGGTTGTGCTGGTGCTTGGAATGTGGGAGACAGGATAGGCCAGGCTAGGGCCTAGTCATGGGGGGCCTTGCCCCCAAGCCAGAGCTGGTCACGAGTAACAAAATTAACCAAACACTTTAAAACCTGGAAGCAAGCAGACACTGTGTAGGACAGCTCTAAAATGTTTATTCAGATCTTCAGATCTGCCCGAAGAAGTCAAAACCCAATTATTTCACCTTCAAACACAGAATTCTTTTTATGGCTCAGCGACACAGTTGCAGTGATATTTGAAGAAACTAATATCAATTTAATAAAGGCTTTAGTTCTGCAGAAACCTAACTGAAAATTTTAAATGCATGATTGGACTCTAAATCTTGAAATTTTAAAAAAAGGCATAAAGTTTTCATCTAACCCAGCATTCACCTAATCCGGCATTCATTCACTTAGCCCATGAGTTAACAATGAGCTCCACGCACGAGAAAACCCGTCTTACGTGTGATCGCTCCTCTCCAGAGTCTCCGTGCTCTAGTTCAGTTGCCAGCCCAACCCTGTGCAGGGAGAACAGGTTGACACCCGACAGAGTGACCACAGCATAAGGTCCTGATATCACACAGCAGAGCCTACTAACTACGAGACCTTTGGCAACCATGTACCTCACTAAGCTTCTGTTTCTTTATCTATAGAACAGAGATGGTAAGAACACTTACTTCACAACATTGATTCCATGTAATTCTTTCACAATGTTGTAAGTGTTATTATCATCTCTGTTAAAGAATTAGCTCCCTAGTACAAGGCAGTCAGGGAGAACATTCAGCTTGTTGGTGAGAGATATGTACTGTTTATTGTGTCTATAAGAAACTCCAGTTGGCTCTCTCTATACCTCTCATGATGCACAGTTGGTGTTCATGTTGCCAATGTAACCCTCAAATGCAAGTTTATTGAATACAGCCCAAAAGAGCAATAAACAGAGAAAAAAAATGCATCCATGTCAATAAAAAATTCATGAATTTATAAAGTTCAGTAATTGTTAAGTTTTCACATGCAGCATTTAATGCACAAGAAAATGCTGATTATATAGTAATGTTTGGATATCTTGAAATGCTGAAAGAAATAAACAGGTGCACAAACACACAAAAGTTTAGCTGTAGGTCAATTTACAAACCTGTGAAGTCTTCACATAGTACACACTCTCGTTCCAAATGCTACTTTTTTGACACAGGCAAGGTGCCACATTCTTTGTAATGGTCCACAGTCACCCACTGATGGGGTTGAGCTACAATAGCAAGTTTAAACATCACTTCATTTACAGAACCATCCATCCTGTCAGGGCAGTATTTGACATGCTTCAAAGAATGAGAACAGGATTTTAAAAGCCTAGGTTCCAACTTATGAACAGAGAAAAACAAGTAGCATCTATGCAATATAGTGCACAATTTTGTACAGAATACTGCTAAGGCTGGAGCAGTCTATACATTAAAATGAGTATACAGTTCCAGAACTTACTTGGAACACTGTCTGTATAAGTGCTGTTTGACCAGAGAAACAAAATCGGCCACAGTGTGGGGCAACATGTAAGCAGCGCACCTCGTATGGAGGTCAATGTGAATGACAGTTCGCAGGCGAGCTGGTGTTAGTGTGTCCCTTACCTCACGTTTTAGGCTTTATTTCTCTTAGTTTGCCTTTGTTTCAGGTGTGTTTGTTAATAACTGTGAATTCGCTGTCCTTTCACTGTTCATCTTTTTTATCTTCTTTTTCTTAGGTAAGTCCCTTTAACATTTCATATAAGGACTTGGTGATGATGAGCTCCTTTAACTTGACCTTATCTGAGGAGCACTTTATCTGCCCTTCCATTCTAAATGAAAGTTTTGCTGGATAGAGCAATCTTGGATGTAGGTCTTTGGATTTCATGACTTAGAATACTTCTTTCCAGCTCCTTCTCGCCTGTAAGGTCTCTTTTGAGAAATCAGTTGACAGTCTGATGGGAACTCCTTTGTAGGTGACTGTCCCCTTAGCTCTTACTGCTTCTAGGATTCTCTCCTTCATTTTAATCTTGGCTAATGTAATTGTGCCATGGCTAATGATGATGTGCCTTGGTGTGTTCCTTCTTGGGTCCAACTTCTTTGGGACTCTCTGAGCTTCCTGGATTTCCTGGAAGTCTATTGCCTTTGCCAGATTGGGGAAATTCTCCTTTATTATTTGTTCAAATAAGTTTTCCACTGGTGGCTGTTCCTCTTCCCCTTCTGGTACCCCTATAATCTGGATGTTGGAATGTTTAAAGATGTCCTGAATGTTCCTAAGCCTCTCCTCATTTTTTTTGAATTCTTGTTTCTTCATCCTTTTCTGTTTGGTCACCTTTTTCTTCCTTCTGGTCCACTCCCTTGATTTGAGTCCCAGTTTCCTTTCTGTCACTGTTGGTTTCCTCTGCATTTCCCTTCATTTCAATGAGTTTAGCCTTTATTTGTTTCTCTAATTTGTGATTAAAATTAACCAGTTCTGTGAGTATCCTGATCACCAGTGTTTTGAACTGTGCATCTGATAGGTTGACTATCTCTTGGTCACTTAAAAGTATTGGCTCTGGGGCTTTGATTTGTTCTTGGTTGATTTGTTCTTTTAATTTATTCTTCCATTTTTGGTCTGTTCGCGCCTATTACATATGTGGGGTGGAGCCCTAGGTGTTCACCAGGTGGCTGGTTTGTGACGCTGTACATGGGGGTGGGGTCAAGGAGAGGCAATAGCGGTTCCCTCTGCTGCTTCCTGCCATGGGGGCCTGTGAGGTCTGTCTCACTGCTTGCTCCTTCGCTGGTTTATCTGCGCGCAAATGTGACCATGGTCAGCCTGTCGCCTTGCGCCCTCACTGGGTCTGCCTGCTGCAACCCCACGCCTGGGATCTGCCAACCCCACGCCTGTGTGCCTGGGTTGGTCTGGCCAAGTTTTCCTGCGCAACCCTGCTCTGCCATTCACTGGCTCCAGCCCTCTTACCAGTCTGGCTGAACAGTTTACCGGTCTGGCTGAACGGTTCGTTGTTGTCAGACTTCCATATAGTTCAATTTTCTGTGTTTTGGTTGCGTTTTTGTTACTAAAACTTTGTTGTCTTTAAACTTGGTTGTGGGAGGAGGCACAGTGTTTCCACCTATGCCTCCATCTTGGCCCGGCTTTATTTCTAACTTATGCAGAAAGTGTACATTTTAAATCATAACATTTTCGGTGGGCTTTAGTGAACATTTCTTTTCTTAGCTGAATACCAGGGGTCATTTCCATCTTCACCTTTCCTAATAGGACCCCAAGTTTATTTAGTGTGCACCTGTCTCTTCCCCAGCTCAGGTGCTTGAGGGGCAGTCAACCCCAAGCTCCAAGGTGAGCCCCGGGTGGTTTAAGACAATGAGAATTTCTTGTCTGTGGGGAGGGGAGGAGGTAACACCAAACATAGTTAATGCCAGGCTTTTTATTTGGAATGGTGGGGACAAACCCCTCCCTCGTCTTTTTTTTTTTTTTTTTTTTTTGGTGGTGGTGGTGGTTCTGAGTAG